GCAGATAACATCTCAGATACTAGCTTCTCAATTTCGTCTTTCTGCAAATAGCCATACCTGTATGGTTTAACACAAATCGGTTCCTGCCTGTTTTGAGAGTAATTTGATGGTCAGCCAGTCGATGTGGAGGAAGAGATCGAATCTCATCGAAGACAATCTAGTGTTTCTCTAGTAACCTGTGCAATGTCGATTCTTATGAAGACGAGAGCTCATTTGTGTGTAGTGGGGAAATTTCAGCATCGACACCCCAAGCAAAACAGAGAAGTCTACGTCCAATAATTTGCGGATGGACTTTAGGGAAGAAGGAGTTCTCATAAGAGACGGGTCACCCACTAGAGAAACGGTATGTCCTTCATGGGTAAACTCCATAGTCATCTGAGCCCAATTGCTCCGTATATCACCCAAAGTTTCTAGCCATGCTATTTCCAGAATGAAATCAACCCCATGCAATGGAAAGATGAAGAAGTTGCCCACAATTTCAAATGAACCAAACCGTACCTGAAGTTGACGACACATACCCGAGGCGGCTACTCGATTACCGTTCCCGAGGCGAACGTAATAGACGGGAGTGGGGGTGACTGTAAGTTTGAGCTCTTTGTGGACTTGGGACGAGATAAAATTGTGGGTTGCTCCACTATCCACCATGATCACAACCTCCATAGAAGAGAAAGTACCTTTGAATTTCATGGTTTTTGGTTTGGAGATGCCCCCAATTGAGTTAAGAGAAAGCTCTATATTGGAGAAGTGAGCTTCATCCCAGGTGACAGGAGGATCGGTCTCAACGGTAGCATCCAATTCGGCCATCTGGCCTTCATTCACTGCGGGCTCGTATTCACTAGCAATTAGGGCACGATGGGTGCGATTGGGACATTCATGAAGGGGTGAGTAAGGCTGTTTGCACTTAAAGCAAAGTCCCTTGGCTCTGAGAGAAGTTGCCCACAATTTCAAATGAACCAACCCGTACCTGAAGTTGACGACACATACCCGAGGCAGCTACTCGATTACCGTTCCCAAGGCGGACATAATAGACAGGAGTGGGGGTGACTGTAAGTTTGAGCTCTTTGTGGAGTTGGGACGAGATAAAATTGTGGGTTGCTCCACTATCCACCATGATCACGACCTCCATAGAGGAGAAAGTACCTTTGAATTTCATGGTTTTTGGTTTAGAGATGCCCCCAATTGAGTTAAGAGAAAGCTCTATATTGGAGAAGTGAGCTTCATCCCAGGTGACAGGAGGATCAGTCTCAACGGTGACATCCATTTCGGCCATCTGGCCTTCATTCTCTGCTCTTCGCTAGCAATTAGGGCACGAAGGGCGCGATTGGGGCATTCGTGAAGGGTGAGTAAGGCCGGGGGCGGTGGATTGTTTGCATTAAAGCAAAGGCCTCTGGCTCGGGAGATTTTGGTATTCTTTGGTGGGAGGTAGTGGCGGTGTGGTTCTTGGAGGATGGAATGTTGGTGGCTGGTTTTGGTAGGTGGTGCGGGTAAGAGCAGAGGGGCGTTTGGTAGGAATCTGGTGGTTTGAGGGGGTGGGGTGGAGGGGTTTCACGGTGGTGCGGGTAGAGCTAGAGGGCGTGGTAAGGAATCTGGTGGTTTGAGGGGTGGGGATGGAGGTGTTTCACGTTTCTGCAAGGTGAAGGTGTTAGTTGGGTATTTGGAGTAGCTTGGGCCTGAGGATTTTGGGCCTAGCCCGAATTGGGTGGGTAAGTGTTGTTTGGTGGGAGAGAAGTTGATTTCCCTTTCAATTTCACGTGCCACCTTCATCGCGCGACGCAAATCGACTGTGTTAGGTGAACGCAGACGGAGTCGAATGTCACAGCGGAGACCATTGAGGAAATATCCTAACAGCTGTGGGTCAGACAAGGATGGGGCTTGGGCTGCTCGGGAGATGAACTTGACAATGAAGGAGGAGACTGTCCCAACCTGTTTGACGGCAGCAAGGAGCTCGTAGGGGTTCTCAGAATCATCGCCGCTGAACTGAATGGCTATTTCCTCTTTTAACTGGTCCCAAGAGAAAGCAGGCTCGCGCTGCCGAACCCATCGAAGCCAGTGAAGAGCTTCTCCTTCCATAGCCACAAGGGCCAAGGGAATCTTCATATCGGGTTCTGATTGATGGAGCTCAAAGTATTGTTCTGCCCGTGCAATCCAACCTATCGGGTCAGACCCATTGAAGGTAGGCATGTCAACTTTCTTAATCTGGTCTTGAATAGATGTGGGTGTGGAAGGTGTTGTGGCTGGTGGTGTGGGAATGGTTGTAGTGGGCGCGATGTTTGGAGGAGGTTGTGGTCGGGAAGAGGTTGGTTTGGGAGAGGAGTCACCGGATTCTGTTTGGGCCCTGCCGGCAGTGAGAACCGACATAAGTTGGTCGAACTTGGTTGTGAGAGTGGACATTTGGTTGGTGAGGGATGTAAGGTTCTGGGTATATTCAGTGTGGAAGGATGTTTGAGAGTTGTCAAGGGTGGCAAGATGAGCTTCAATGGTGGAAATATTCCTCTCTATCTGATCAATCCGCGAGTCTTGTCTGGTATTTGTCATTGTGGAGATCGAAGAAAAGGGCAGGTCGAACCAAATTGATAGAGTAAGGAACAGTTCCAATATCTGTAAATTAGATGGCTGAAACAGAAAAGAAAAAAAAAGAAAAGAAAAGAAGATAAAGAGAGTGTAAAGAAGAAGAGAGAAATTGTATTAGATCAATAGGACTGAATCAATAATAGTGGATTGTCAATACAATAATCTCAGGAGTTCTAAATGGAGAAAAGAAATAACAGAGCTAACAGAAATCTTGTTCCAAAGAAACCAAGCCAAGAAGACTACGCTCTCCAAACCAGATATCTGTTCAAAAAACTATTTGCCCAAAAAATGCTCAGCCCATCTCCTCACTTGCCTCTTGTCTGCGTGATACCCTTTCATTCATAACTGATTTGTGACAGGATTGTACAATTCTCCATTTCCTTGAATTATTCCCCTGTTTTTCCTTGGATCACTCACCCCAAATTAAGCAGCAAGATTTGGCCTTCTTGAGTAAAACCTTAAAGGGCCTGGGCTCCAATTCTTAATAATATGACTGGTGCCTCGCCGACTCCCCATGCTCATATCACCTGCTCTATCTGAGCTTCCCTCACTAAATGAAAGTTCTCCCATCGTATGTTGAATGCTTGAATTTCTACGTCAGACGGCAGGTCCCTCTGTAAAGGAAACGTCCGAGTATACTACTGAAAAAGTTGAATTCCGTTATAGAATTAGCACACTATACCCACGACACCCCCATGGATCTTCTGGACGGCAGCTTTACACGGCTATAGGCGCCAGCCCCCACGCGCAAACGCAGTGATACCCTCATCATAACTGATTGTGACAGGTGTTACATTCTCATTCCTTGAATTATTCCCCTGTTTTCTTGGATCACTCACCAAATTAGCAGCAGCCTTTGGCCTTCTTGAGTAAACCTTAAAGGGCCTGGGCTCATTTCTATCATTATATGATCTAGCTGCCTCTTCTCTTCTTAAATTATATGTTTAAGTTAAAAAATAACAATAATAACAGAAGAAAAGAAAAAAAATAAACGGATTCTCTCTTTCCTCCATCAAAACTCAGGTATATATCCCTCTCTCTTTCAATCTCTCTTGCTTCTCCTCCCTTCTCTAATTCAATATCTTCAAATATAAAGGGTTGTGCTGCCAAATTTTTTCTGATTTTGTTAGGATTTCAGTCACAGTAACCCTAATGAGAGTGTGTTTGGATACTGAGAAAAGGGTAGAAAATTAAAGAAAAGAAAGAGTAGAGAATAAAGAGAGAATTATGGAAGATAGGGAAAATAAAGAAGAAAGAGAAGAGGCTATACAACTTTTTATTTGACTTTTCAATCGCATTGGTAGATCCTGTGCTGCAGCTAACTTAGTTACAACCATATTCAAAAATGATTCAAGAATCACAATTAAATCATAACTCATAACATTTTTACAATCAAATCAAAATTGGAACTTATTATCCTTACAGTTATATCATTATATGTTTTATATTATTAATGATCTTTTTCAATTTTTTGAAGTTATTATATATTCTTTTAATTATTTTCTATTTTTGCGCCTCACCTCACTGAGGCTAGCACCTAGGCTGCAGCGGCCCTTTGCACCTTAGTGCGCGTAGGGCCTTTAATTAATATGCGCTTGAAAGGCATCTTGGAACTGTCCAAACAAAAATTATATAACAATTACAAACTGCATATTATCAAGAATTCAAGACAACTGCAGTCGTATGAGGTTTTCATCAGATTACAAGCAAGAAATATCAAATATGAGAAAGGTTACAAATCAATTTCAAATGTTATCAAATGGCCTCCCTTTGTCTCTGAATATTACATCCCACAACATTATCATCACAGTGAGCAAAAGAATGCAACCGAAACAAGGCCTTTAAGGCAATGTCACTAATGATTTAGTAAATCATTACTTAATAAGAAATAGATTTTCAGCAATTTGGCTATAACTGTGAGAACCTTACATGCGCCGGTTTAATATCTTCCTATCAATTTTAGATTTATGTTCTAATTCTTTTTAACAACCCTAGTCTCATTATAGCCCTCCGGAAGTCTAAATATGCCCATTATGAGATACTCATTCTTGTCATTATTTTCTAAGAGCAATAACTAAGAACACAGAAGGGGATAATAACCGACTGGATATCTCTGCAAGATCACTTTACAACACGTTTACATATGCGCCAGTAACAGATCATTACTATTCTCCAGCTGCAAAGTATGCCAACGGTTCGAAACCCCTAAAAAGCAAGACTTTCTCCATATAATTTCTAATCCCAGACAACAGGAATTAGAAAAAACTAATGACTCAATAGAACATAATCAAGGCAAAACCTAAATCGCATTTAGCCTCGAGAACCAAAAATTCTCTAATCCACAATTACCAAATTGGGAAAATTCAAAACAAAATATGAAAAAACCCTAATTCAAAATAGACGAAAGAAAAGGAGCAAATCGGACTTACATTGTAAGTGACATCAGGTTTCTCGGACTGGCTAAGTAGAGAAATACTGGAATCAGCCTCAGGAGGCAAGACATCCACAAGAGCATTTGAATGTCGGTGCAGGGCGACAGAAGCAGAGGGCTTCAATAGTTCTCTATTGATGGTGCTAAGAATTCTCACATAGTAATTAGACCCCGTAGTCGAGCCTACAATACCATTATTCTGGTCGACCATCTCCATGAACTGTCCAATTACAAGTGGCACCGATTGGATCCGCTTGACCTCTTCCTGAGCACGGAGAAGCTCGCGCTTCAAATTCTTTTGCTCGTCTTTGACATACTCCTCCTGGATGTCGATGAACTCGAGCTGACGCTGGAGAGACTTTAGGCGGCTGTAAAGGTCGTCTTCGTCGGAGTTTGATAGGTCGGCGAAGGAATGTTGTACGTCCGTTCTCGCCGCAGAAAATGATGGCGGAGGTTCAGATACGGGTTTCGGATCCAAAACCATAGCTGAAGAAGCCATCACAACCGAAAGAAATCAGATGTTTTGATCTCTCCTTTGCTTTGTTGATAACTCGGCGAATATGTTTTGGGTAAATCGGAAGAAAAACAATGGTTTTTAAAATAGCAGTGTCTTTTTGGCTAAGCTAAACTTGTCAGTGGAACAGTTTCTTTTTCTTTTTCTTTTCCCCCTATATGCTACCCTTCGTTATATTTTATTTGCATAAAATAAACATATTAAGAATCTATAGCTTTTTTTTTTTACCTTTTGAATTATTAAAATATTAGTAAAAATTTTTCATTTAATAAATAATTATAAAAATTATCATGATAAAAATAATTATTTATATAAATAAATTTAAAAATTTTATAAATATTTTAGAATTTTTAAAAAATGAATAATAAGCAAACAAAATAGAATGAATAATTTAAGTCTTTCATTTAATGAATTTTACCCTTGAATTATTAAAATATTAATAAAAATCTTTCATTTAATGAATAATTATAAAAGTTATCATGATAAAAATAATTATTTATATAAATAAATTTAAAAGTTTTGCAAATATTTTAGAAATTTCAAAAAATGAATAATAAGTAAACAAAATAGAATGGATGAAATATTAATTAATAATTAATTATAGTAGAACTGGTCCTATGTCGGTTATCCAAGGCTTGTTTGGATGAAAAGAGGAAGAAATCATTAAAGTAAAATATAGTAAAGTATGATATGGCAAAGTATGGTAAATGTCTTTTTTATATTTGTGGAGAAATATAGTAAATGAAGGTTTAATAGCACTATTTTATTTGATTTGATAGCAGATGAAGGTATTGTTAAATATAAAGATTACGAAAATACCATTATCATCAAAGATTTATAAATATAGTAATGGATAATTTTGGAAATCAGATTGTTTAACCCTGCTTACATCCCAATTGGACGAGTTGAAGATTGTGGTGTTTAGATGGTTTTTCAATCTCTCAAATAACTTTCAAAAAACCATCCTGTCCCTCAAACCCTCCTCTCAAATGACTAATTAATCTTACTTTACCTTACACTATCCAAATCCACCAAATAACCTCCATATAGCCCGCCCATTAAATTGTACGGGTTTGAAAGTAGATTTTCTACACTACATTTGAAACAAATAAATTATGGTCGTAGAATTCATTTATAAATAAATTTCAAATAAAATTTATTAGCAAATGAGTTTGTTATATTTGGTATGCTACAATTTAAAATTTAAAATTAGAAATTCAATAGAATTCCACAAAATTATGCTTGGAATAATTCTTAAATGAAAATTCATTTGTTTTTATTTCTTAAAATATCGTTAACATAATAATTTAATAAAAATAAATACACTCATATTCCACCTAATTTATTAATTAATTATTGATTAATTAAATTTTAAAAGTTCATATTTTAAGTCCTTGCAAATGTTTAAATTTTATTTTAAATAATAGATTAAAATATATTCAAAATTAAAATCGAATTTTGTTGGGTTTCAATATCAATAATATGCAGCAGAATAATATAATTATAATAAAAAATAATTATACCAACATGGATCCGTTTAAACGATTAAAGCAATAGAATTATTTAGAAGAATATATCTTTTGCAGATTCTTTACAACTTCGATCTATATGGCTAGATTGTCACAAACCACAAGCCGTCTAAGTGTCCGGCTTCTAGTAATATCTACAGGAATAGGCAATCGAAAAACTCTAAACTATTTTAGAAGATTAAGAGGTTAGAGCGTAAGATAGCATACGCTCTATATTTAGTTTTGTAGCTATGAGCAACAATTCACAGTTAGATATATCTTAAACCTTATATATGAAATCCTTAGGTTATAAATAAATAAATTATAATATTTATTTAAACCTTTTAAATAAATAAATTACAACTAAAATAAGCGTTAAGATAGCTGTACGCTCTATATTTGTTTCTGTTAGTATGAGCAAACAATTCCAGTTAGATATTATTTCTTACCTTATATATGGAAATCCTGTAGGTTATAATATAACTGTATAATATTTTATTTAACCTTTAAATAAAATAAAAATTTAAAACTAAAATCATATATGTGCCTATTTATTTATTTAAAACAATTTAAATAAATAACATCATAATACAGTATCAGTTAATAGAATTTTCAATTTAATCAATTATATTTATTTTATTTTAAGCTAGTTTAATAATACATCATAATTAAATATTAGGTTATTTAGTCTAAAAATTTTACTCTTAATAAAAAATAAATCATAATTAAAATATTAGGTTTATTTAATCTAAAATTTATCTTAAATAAATCAATTAAGTCAATACTTAATAATTTAGGTAAAATTGTAATTTAAATATAAATTTAATTTTGCCCTTAATGTCCCAAAACTAATTTGTAATCAAGTCATACTTGATTCGATTTTTCGTTTTTACTTTCTCATATTCATTCTTATGTGTGTGACATTCTAGGTTCCAAATATGGTGGCAAAAAATATAAATTAAATTGTTAATTAATAATTGAAGGTCAACTACATTGTTTAGAAACATGTCAAGACTACCTGTTGACGCGTGTCTTTATGCCCCCCGCCTGATCCGATGAGGATACAAGGATGCAGAATGAAGGGTTAATGCTATCTAGAAGTCTTTTAATCTAAGGATTTAAATTTAACCAATTTTAGTTTTTCTCGGCGTTGTCAGCGCGCTCAGAGTTGCCGCTTTTCAACAGACTAGATATTCAGCAGCGGATAGCGGTTGACTCGGGCACTGTGACCAGTCCTGGGTTCACGAGCTCTAATCAATGCAATTTGGATTGTTTGACGCTCCTTCGATTACATAGAAGTACAGACATAAAGTTTTTATTCTACCTGTGCCGTAGCGACATTGTGTCTCGTTTTAGTCCAGACAAGGACTACTCGCCCATATAACAGATCGGTCACCAGCCATAAAGGCTGGTGACCACAGTCTACCCTCTTGTGCCGTTACATATATTAAAATTGATGCATTTTTTCCTTCTCATTTTAGAGGCTTCTTCTGAAGACTCACTTTCGGCTATATTATTCCCAGAGCCTCCTTCTGAGTTTATTTTGAAGAAAATATCCCATTAGATATCAATTTTTGGTAAAAACCAAAATCATAGAAAAAGAAAATATATTAAAGAGAGAAAAGAATAAGTGTTTGAATCCTTGGTGATAAAGCTTATTGGGAGGCCTTACTATCATTGTTTAAGGCATTTTAACGCCACCCTTTCAATTTTCTCATCTGGGATTAGGTAACCTCCTTTACCCTTCTTTGTTATTTATTTATTTACCTTTTTGTTTGGTTTTTTAGTTTAGCTTCCTTTAAACTATATTATTGTTTATTTCCTTTTGGTTGCTTTTGGTTTTTCTTAAGGCATATTAGATAAAAAAAATGACTCCTAATACCCAATCATTTTTTTGGAATAAGCCTTGGGTCAGAGGTATGCGCTCACGTCAAAAACCGATCCGTTTATGGATCCTGGAAGAATGCCATGACCGGGATCCTGTCTTTTCAATATCACAATTTTATTCTACTATCCCAGTGTTCCTATTTATCAGATTTGGTGGATTCTAACACATAAGTTTTCTATGGATCATGGAGTTTTAGGGAACAGATACGTAACGGAACCTAGAAGACTTCACAGTGACCGGCCAGCCTGTTTTAAGGATTTATAGAAATAATTTTTATTTTTTTGAAAAAGAAAAAATTTGAAAAAATAAGTTTTAATTTCTAATAAATTCCGAAGATTGTAATTCATTAAACGATTTTGAAATATTATATTTAAGTTATTACGAACAGTTCTAAAATGTAATTTATTGGGTAATTTTACTTGTATGAAATTTACCACAATTTTTTAGTTGAATTGATAAATAAAATAAAATTTATTGGGTTTTGTTTAGTTATTTTGATGTATTTAGGTGATTTAAATTAAGAAATAAATGTTTGATTTAGGTCGCGCCCTCAAATTACAATAATTATGATGATTTTTTAGTTTTGGTTTTATTGAGAGTTTATTTTGAATCGGGTTAGAATGTATTTTTGGTTAGGTTTTGATTGATCGTGAAATAAAGGAGAGCCGGTTTTTTATTTATTGATTTAAATCGCCCTTTGTGTTTGACGATTGGGTTATAAATGGAATCAAATTGAAAATTTGATGGGCAAGAATTAAGTAATTTCATAATAGAACTGGGTGCAAATTCAATTTGGGCTTGGGTTTTAAAGTTGAATAATATGGCTTTTTAAATAATAAAATTATGCAGATCATAGGTAAAGAAAGGGATTTCTTGGCGTCCGGTTCCGGGAAGGTACTCTTAATATGCTTGGTTGGATCGACAGTCTTTTTTATTTGGCTTAATAATTGGGTTTATGGAAGTCTTTTTTTAATATTGGGGTATTGTCGGATAAATGGGTGGACTCAACTGTTTATATAGACGCAATTTATCGGATTGTATCTTGTTTATCCTTTTCCATAAATAGATAACTTTCCCATTATTAAATACATAAATATAACTAATTGGAATTGTTTTTGGTCCTATGGGGGGTAGGTCAATTTGCTTGCTGCTGGGGGATGGTTAATCGGTTATTTTAATATTAGTTCGGTTGTAAATTAGGATTACTCTGACTAGTTTTTCTAAATTGGAATAATTAGCTTAAGCCTAGGTAAGATCTTTATATCTTGTTTGTTATTGCTTCTTTTTTTTTTATTTTTAATTTGAAGTTCTAAGGCATATTGCATTCTTTCTTTTCCTTCTAATCGAATTAATAGTAATTAAATTTGTTACTTCGGAAGGTGGTTCAGGTCTTTGGTTTTAGACAATTTACTTGAAGAACTTAACCAATCTTTAATCGAGCCTGAAGTAATTCTTAAGGGCCTGTCAGGAAGTAAGGTACATGAAGATTTTTTGGGAAGTTGTAGATCAGAAGAAGAGCAATGCAATATAGTATGATGTGCTGCTACTTCCTAGGCTTGAGTCAATAAGATATATGCTGTTGTTCTGTAATTATATCTTGACGGTTGTAAATATGGAATCCTCAATGGCTAAGTTGTTGAGATTAAGACAATCCTTAAGAATGTTGGAATTTTAAACAATTCGGTGGTGGGAAGAGATAAAGTGAGATTGGCATTTACCTTCGTTCTGCCGTGTTTAT